CATTTTCAGATTGGACTATAGATATTTTATATATATATATATATATATATATAAAACAAAGGCGAATAGCATACACTTCCTGACAGGATATATTGGACTTTACAACTTGAGAGTTGTCAATGAAACCCTCAACAGTTTTACACTGGATAGGTTTTAAAGGAACACTCCACTATTTTTGAAAATAGGCTAATTTTCCAACTCCCCTAGAGTTAAACAGTTGAGTTTTACCGTTTTCGAATCCATTCAGCCGATCTCCGGGTCTGGCGGTAGCACTTTTAGCTGTAGCTTAGCATAGATCATTGAATCTGATTAGACCGTTAGCATCTCGCTCAAATTCAAACTCTCATTCCGGCGTAATAATCAAGGAACTTTGCTGCCGTACAATGGGTGCAATGATATTACGCAGCGCCTGAAAATAGTCCCCAGCTAGGTAACTTCCAATAAGCCTATTTTCAGGCGCTGCGTACTATCATTGCGCCTACTGCACCCATGGTACGGCAGCAAAATTCCTTGATTATTACGCCGCAATAAGAGTATAGTTCCTAGCCATATCGGCCGAGAAAATTGCAACTTTTCATTTTCTGTAGGTCTTGGTACACGATGTAACTACAGAAGAGTCAAGTTTTAAATAGGAAAAATATCGAAACTCTTTGGTAATTTTTGAGAAAAAAAAATTTGAGGTGTCATTCATGTCTTTAGTTCATAATGACATGTATTAGCGTATAGGACAAATTACATACTGAAGTTTACTAATTAAGATTATGGCAGTGGTTTTCAACAAGAGGGCTTATTTGCTTAAAATAAGCAATAAAACCCCTAAATATCACAATATTTCTTATTTTAATCTGTGCTCTCAATAACTGATAAGTTTTGTTTTTTGGTGAAGAACCAGGGTTCCTAAACATTTTTATATATTTAATTTTAAAATAATTTTTAGTATTTAAAAAAAAAAAAAATCATTGCCCTTAATCTTTGCACAGTAAATCATGAACAACTGAATTTATAGGACTATGGAGAACCACTGGATTAGAGGTTTCTTGAAACCTTTCAAATAGTAATAGTGATTCTTGCCTTACCAAACACCACCAACAATCTTGATTTCTAGGATATTATTAACAGCAGAACACTCAATGTGCCTTTTAGAAACACATATCCAAATCCTGAATATAAATGTAATGCTTCTGGCGGCTTTATCATACTCGTGTATACACAAGAAGATGGACAGAAATGCTGACTGCCTGTGTCTTCTACGTTCTTCTACGTTCTCATGAGCACATGGCATCAAAGATATCACGACTTTACACATGGCACCACTTTCAGCTCCAGCCCTTTTATCCGCATGAAAATGTCAGTTTCATAGTGAAATAAGTAAATGTGACCAATTTGTCAGCCGGCAAATCAGCAACAATAACTTGAGCAGTATGACCCCGTAAAATATTTATACCCTGTAGTTTAATCAATCAGACTCATTACGGGAATATGAACAGATTGTGTGATCTTTTAAAGTAATCACCCTTATTGCTTGAGATTTCCCTCGGCCTTGTCGTGTCACTTAAGCTAATGGGAAGGTGAGAGAATGAGAGACTGGCCCCATAAATTCACATCTGTCCCGAATTTAACCGCAGCTCAAACACACACAAAAAGACCAAGTTTAGTAATAAACTTTATTGAAAAAGGCTCAGCCTTTTCTTTTTAAATGCAAGCTTGCGTTCAGGACAGGCATTTATTACGCTTGTGGGAAATCTCTCAAACAGATGCGAAATGTGGCTTAATAATCAAGATAAGCGACTAGCTACCCGTCACGATGATTATGATTGGCTTGGAGTCAGCAAAGGACTGTGTTTGTTTTTCCCTGCCACAATAAATAATCAGCCTATCCTTGAGATGTGATTTCTGAATGTACATGTAGAAAACGGCTAATGTTTACTTTTATACGCTAGTGACTAATTTAAATGTTCGGCCTACCTAAACTTGAAGCGAACGCTTTATTTATAGCTGGTTGTGCAATGACTGTTTTAAAGACGTAAACTTCAACCCAGTGGTGTCCAATAAAGCAAGACAATGTGGAATTCAAAATCTAATTTAAACCTGGAAATAAACAGAAAGGATTAAAATAAATAGTCAATCAAAAGGGTCCAATCAATGGAGCATTTGTAGGTAAACAAATACAATATTCACAGAACTTTACCAAATGTGACGCATTTTCACTGTATTTCCTACCCCTCTCTGTGGCCTTTATGGCACATATGTGATTTACTGAAGGAGAGAAACAGTGGAGCATCAAAGGCACTCAACACTGACCCATAATCCCTGGCTAATTAAATAATTCACTAATTGATTCATCACTAAATCAATAAAGCAGGAGATGGTTTATGGTGTTGGTATAACATAGGTGACCAATTGGTTGCAACCAGGATGATGTATTTTGCATGACTATTATTATTACTAGGCCTATAGGATTAGTGATTTGAACAAACCCTGAACACTAGTATAAAACTTTGGCACATATGGTTGGACTCTCTTAGCCAGTAATCAACAAACATTTCAAAAAAGCGAAATGACCTGCCGGAAGATCCAGATGGATCCAGTCTAAGGTGATGGTTTTATGTGGTTTCTAGCTGGTCATTCATGATCATTCGCTGGTTAAGCCGGACTACCACAGGATGCATGTGGTTTTGACATTACAGACCACTTAAAACAAAAAAAAAGTCAAAAACTTCATGTTTCATGGGTCATGTTTTACCCCCCAAATATGTATGTATTTATGTGCTTATTTATTTTGTTATGAGCTTAATTTTTTAGTTCATACAATTCTCATTAGCTGTAGGGAAAAATGAATACAAAAATACTGATGTTATTGATGTTATTCACATAAAGCATTTATACTCCGTTATTGTCTATGCTTTCATTTAAAAAGAAAATGCATACAGCACAGTACGTATGCGTTAAGTTAATGAGGATTAGTGGGGAAAGTATGCTTAATCATCATTAAAATTATGTTACAATGCAGAAAATATTCATATTCTTTATGCTATACATATATATTTGTCTCTCTGTCCTTTGTCTGTTGGGGTAAAATGCGACCTGGAGATGTTCTTAATTCATACTGCAAACATCACCCTAACCACCACATGTAAGGCGTACTCTTTGATTAAACATACTAAAAAAAATATTAGCCTCAGTAAAAAACAAAAAAACAAAGGTAGGTTTCATTTTGATCTTGATGTGGACTATAACATGACATCATTTCAGCCTGTGGGATCATGAAAGCAGAGACAGCCGACCAATGGAGGACACACAAGCTCCCCAGACCATAAACATTGTTTCTGTATAATGAATGATTATCCAGAGAAGGCCGACTGGACTTAAAGAGGGATGGTTTGAATGGATGGAAATGCTAATTAAAGTGTAATTCATCCCACTGGAACTGTATCTATGTCTGTGCATTACGTTCTCTCTCTGAAACTGGTGATGTCTAGGTGAATGTGTGTGTGCATATACGGTTTATGGCCTCTCTGTCCCCTGCCGGTGCCGTAAGGTCATTGATGAGATTGATTATGATGAACTGAGTCAGAACGACACTTTTGAGCTTCACGACCCATGTGAACCATAAATTCAGGTGCCTAAACAGCCTGTAATAATTATTTCATACCACAGCAAAGACCAAAGGGGTTTGATCAGTTGTTGAGGTTTCGGTATGCAGTTATTGACAACACTGTTTTTGTGAAGGGCAGCAAAATAAACATTAAAACATCACATTGTTAAAGAGGCAAAGCAGCCATCATTCACAGGTTTTTGGATGCCCTCCTCAGGTCAGTATAGCAGAGAAATGTGTGTTCATGTTTGTCGTTTTGACACAATTTTGTTTCTGGGAGTCAAAAAAAAAGAAAAAAAGTCAGCGTCAGTTTTTTCTGTTTCTTCATGTAATCCCAGACGGACTGGATGAAGGGGAGATCAGATCCCTGTGTGGAGCACTGGCTGTTGTCAGACTCCTTGCAAACAAAAATCTCACTGGATTATTAAAATTAATGGCAAAATTAATGTTTGGAAATGTAAACTGATATTTTCTACTGACACACTGCAGCAAAAGATAGAAATTACTGTCTTAAAACCTCTTTTTGTTGGTAAAAATAGTAATAAAATACTATAAACACTAGTGTATATATATATATATATATAGTGATTATAAACATATCCCTTTCTACCATAGAAGAGTATAAGGGAAAATAAGTTACTTTATAAGAAAGTATAAGTATAACAGCATTAGTTTCTAAAGCACCATGGTATTACCAGTGTTTGGGGGCATAAAGACACATATGTTTACATATCACTACAAAAACAAAAAAAAATATCAATACAATTTCTATTTTTTTTTTCTCGAGTTTCCTACACCGGTCAACTAGAGATCACAACACAACTTGAGCAACATCTCCCCCGTGTGGTGATACCTAACCAATTCCATCTGTCGCCGTTTCAATCACACTTTATTCACCATTTACAAAAGGAATGAAATACATGTAAATGAATGCCAAGATACATGTCTCCAGTCTTATATCCTAGAAATTAACAGGCTTGCATAATTAAGAATTCCTGAACAGAAGCAAACCTGGACATGTGCAAGTTAATGACCTTTCAAAACGCATTAATATCCTAGTCAAAATGAGGTGAGCCACAGCAAAGCAATTTGCAGTAAATCTGAATATTGTGATAATTTTTCTGAAATAATCAGAAAATTACTGCTGTTAAAAAAATAAAACAAACAAGAAGCAGAAACACATTTAGGTCCTTATTCACAGATTATATTCCAACTACTATATATGTATGGAATGTTTCAGTTAATTTAGTTCTGAATTATCAAAGCGCATGTAATGCAGATATAATATCTCATAAAAACATGTCTTGGTCATATTAACATAAAGCCACAATGCCAAATAATGTAATGGTCCTACAATCAAGCTTTATTTTATTTATTTTTAAGCAAACTATATATATCATTCTCATTATTTTTTTGTTGTTGTTAATGTTATTAATGAGTTAAAACATGACCCTACATCTTTCTGTGAGATTCATCCACACTAAGCCTTATCAGACATAATAAACAAATAACTGAATGCAGCAATTGTCTCTAGGCATGTGGATTTCTTGCTCAATTTAAATGCATACTTAAATATATTTCGAATGTTTTTTTTTTACACGGTTCCTTTAAAGAACACACAAATACTGTAAGCAATTAAAGAAACTTCCACTAAACAAAACAATTGAGTATTTATGCAGTAATTTGTACCGACTAAAAAGTGAAAAGTGAACACATTCTTTTTGCAAAGTAATGTGAACTAACATGAACAAGTTTTCAAAGGCATGCCCTTTTGTTACATATCCTCTCAAAGTCTCTGAAACAAATACTGAGCGTAGCATAACAGCACTTTCACTTCGTAATAAAAGTAGTGAGCTATAGCCAAACAAGTTATTTAAAATGACTTATTCTTTAATCCACAAATTCTTCAGCCATATTCATTAAACGTGAGCAGAACTATTTTTTCTATGCTACAACATGCATAAGAATGGTTTTAGTCAGAATTCTGTTTCACAAACGAAGTCCACTGGCAGTAACTCCGCTTTATCTTTGGACCTTCACAATACAACGTCCCTAATTCTCTGCCCACAAAAACCTTGGATGTCTTGCTTTATCAGGAGAGCTACGTTTAAATAACCTAACTGATGTCAATTACATTTTAAGCAGCTAAAATTCTAATCAAAATCCTCATAAATATACATTTGTTTTCATTCCTTAAAATGTACAATCTTAGAAATGTGGAAAAAAAGACAGATAGGCCAAATTACAATCCTAAAACAACTGGTTTGATATGTAACCGGTGCCTGTGATAATGCAGTCTGAGCAAACTGAGCTATCGCCCTCTATTGTGTGGTTTGTGTGACACTACAGTGAATCCCACAAAATCAGGAACATGCCTTGTTCATATTTTACCCCAAAATCACAAGATCATTTCATTGCTCAAAATTGATTTTGGTGTGAAATATGAGACATTGATGTGAAGGCTAGTGTGATCATGCTAGAGTGTGTAACCATGGTGTACTGAGCTCACTGAGGTAAGACAGAGCAAATGTTTGCAAGGCTTGTGAGTTCAGTTGGTTAATTTTGTTCGAAAGAGAGAGTGCATAGTCCAAAATGCCCAGAGTCCACAGGAAAACTGACATGAAATCTCAATGGAAGCATCATACTCTGTTGGTATCTACGTCTGTACAGTTTGAGTCCTGAAGGTTCTGGACCTGGTCAACGATCCAGCTGATTCTGGGCCTTTCCTGAGGATTGGTCACCATAGTGGAGCTGAGGAGGGTTTGAAGACCTTGAGAATAACTGTGTTAAAGAAAGAGACATAGTAACCAGTTATACAGTATACACAAGGATGTGGCAGGTATACGTCCTCCGGTTACCGAGATGTTAAAATGTTATGACTTGAAAACATTAGTGTTGTGCCAAATCTCATTCCATGACTAAAACTGTTAAATTTCAAGCAGTTTTCTGCTATAAAGAGACTAGCATTCATTTGATGATGTGATCTCCACATGTTGGCCCCTATGAGATGATCCACTCCATGAACAGTTTTTATTAAACTTAGTCTTTATAATCTGCTGTGAGTATTCATGATTTGAAACTTATTATCCAAGATGTCCACATTTTTGTACGAGTAAAATTTTTGTTTAAAATAGTTTAGAATATATTGTGCAATATTCCACATTTAAAGGTGGGGTAAGCGATTTCTGGTAGCCAATGTTGACATTTGAAATCCCCTAAACAAACACGCCCCCTACCCCAAAAGGGTCTCGCCCCTATTTTGATAGCTCCGCCCCACACATAGGTATGCAACCCAGGCAATGATTAGTTCTGTGAAACAAAGCAAAACCAATGCTACACCGTATCTACACCGGACGCGAGTGGCGCGACAAAATACTACAGAACTCATTATAATCAGTGATGCTGTCTACACCATAGATATATATACATATCTATGGTCTACACTGGATGCGGCGAGGCGTGACATGACAAATCCCGACAGAAAACTGCTGCTGCGTTCTAATTATGACGTATTGACACAAATTTGAAATGATTTTCAAGACAGACTTTAGCTGTTGCGGCGCAGACACGGTGTTACTCACCTATCGA